ATACGAATGTCATGACCGCGTTGCTCATTGGATGACCTGATGATTCGAGTAAAAAAAAAAAAAATCAAAACCTATGTGTAATACTTTTAAAAAAAGAGAAAGTGCACTGGCAGATACTTACTATATCTCTTGGGACCATCCTCCAAGCAGAACGTGAGGGTTAAGGTTGCGTCGTCCTCGAAGAATTCGGTCGCGAACGCGTCCCACCAGAGATTGTCGCTCTCCTGTAACAAATGGCAGAAAAAAACCACGTGATAATCGTGTCACTGCCAACTTTATATATCGAACAGATCGTTGGCTGTTCGTCGACTTCCGCCGCCAGCGTTCCACGCTCGTTTCGAGAATTTTCTCGTCGTTGCGAGCCTTTTCGCGTTTGCGAAAGGTTTCCAACGAAACGGCTGATTTCCAGTCTAATCTGTAATTGCACGGTAACTACGATGACTGACAACGAACAATCGCACCCGGAGCGGCGTGGATTCGTGGAAAAAAGCTCGCGGACAACACGGACTTGACTTTTCACGGGGACCTGCTGCCGGGCTACAACTATGTCGTTTCAAGTATATTCGTGTTGCTCTACATATATATTGGCGTTTCGTCGTGGCATGAATATTTATAGGCGCCGGATACGGAACGGTTTGAAATTTTTACGTCGTAAACGTAAGCTCGTCACCTCGTGAAAACCCGATCGGCCATAGAACGCGTGCTTCGTTTTTCTCGCTCGACCGTATGAATTATTACGGTCACGCTAATAAACACGCGTAAATGCGTGGAAAACACGATATAAGCTCGTTTAAGAAAACCGGGTTTGCCACTGGATTCTATTAAATTCTTCCGAGGTTTGAACCTTGTGCAACAAATTTGAGAATATATACAGAGATTCTATGATATTCAGTATGTATACATTTAGTATATTCGTGATGTCAATTACATTCAGCAACTTAAAATAAAAGGAACATCACGAATAACAAAATTATTATACGTCGGAGTGTTCAGTTTCGAACTTGTTTCTGTTTATCAATTCATGGGATTTGATTGATGTACGTTTTAAATAACTTGATCATCACCACGACATGAGATCGAAATTGAGTCAATAGTAATAATTCTCCAATCCATATCGTGCTTGAAACGTATCAAGAGAAAAGAAAAAGCTTAATTTAGAAGTAGAAGGTTTTACCTGTTACCAGGTATTATATTTGACAAAATCATTTTAAATTGCTCATTCAAACAGCTGTTAGGTCATACTCGCATATTTTCAATTTAATATCCCAATATTCATGGAGTACGAATATCGTACGAGTTTCAATTTTCACTGAACTCTCCGTTGTTCGGCATAATTTCACCCTTTCAAAAAGGAAAAGAGGGATCGTTCGCAAGCGAAGAGCTGTTCATGATCGTGGCTCTTTTTCGTTTGTACAAGGCGAACGCAAAGGAGAGATCAACGACCATTGACCGACGAGTTGTCCGCGTTTTCTCCGAAATAACGCGGTCGATTCCGCGGACTTCACGAGGGAGAAAAAAGGAACCGGAATATCGAGACGGACGATCGAGTTTCCGGAGTCTGCGACGACGCTGCGGCGCGACGTTGAGACTCAAGGAGAGGGTAAGGAAGAAAAGAAAGAGGCTAGGTCACGTGCGGAAAAATAATAATAAGAGCGAAAAGACAGGAGAGAGAGAGAGAGAG